CAGTATGAGTTCAGGTGTGTGGAAATCACATGTTACTATCTTTGGTGTATTTTGTATTTTGTGAAAAGCCATTCGGTACTTCCAAGGAATTGTCTCTCCGAGTGGTGAAGAGAATGAGGTCTGGAATCATATTATGGGTTCTATCCCTGTTCCCAACACTCACTATCTTTGTGACCTTTGCCAAGTCACATGGTCTTGTTTTTGTGAGACATTTTCTTCCTCTGAATATTGAGATTAGACTGTCCACTCTTTGTCAGGTGTGCCTGGTAAGTATGGGTGTAAAATTGTCCATGATTTCGGGAGCAATGTTTAAATGTTCTCGTATTGTTTAAACTATCTCTCCAAATATTGGCTCTTTGAGGGGTGAAGAAGTAGAGGCACCATCCAAGAAACATGAATGGGAGATACTGCAGGGGTATGGAAATAATCATATAGCTGGGTGGGAGTGGGAGTAAGATCATTGTTGTGATGTGGGGCTGTCTATCTGTCCAGTTGTCTAAGGTCCCATTTTTCCTCCAGTCTATGCATCTTGAATGATACTCTGCTTGTGAGAGACATCAGACCTAAGGGGACCCAGAGCACATGCTCTATCCAAGTTCCCACACCTTCCTGCAGCTACTCTACCACCTTCTCCCAGAAGCAGCAAGGAATGGTGCAGTTTTTCACCACCTAGTCTAGGATGAACCTCCAGTGGTCTCAGAAGTGAGTGCCAGGGGTACGTGCAGATGGGAGGGTGATGGGAGGAGCTGAGGTGAGACTAATGGGAACTTGCAGGTAATTTGTATTGCTTATTTATTTAATTCATTATCACCTTGGATTTATGTGTTTTACCATAGAAGGTAGGCAGTTGTTTTGACCAGGTGCATTACTTTTTGAATTTATTTGACTTTGTTCCTTTATTAACAGACATTTGGGTTTCAGCAGTATTCCCAGCATGTACTGTGCCATAGGGCTCATTCCGTTGCCTATGTTGTGATAAACGTAGGGACATTGTTTTTTGTTTGTTTGTTTGTTTTGTTTTGTTTTGCATAGATTGGGAAATAGTACCGTGTATTCATATTGTCTCCATTTTAGTTTTAATGGATATCACCTTTGCTTTCTCCACACTAGGTAACTACATGACTACTATTGGGGTTATGCTGGTTCTCCCTTGAACCAAGGTAAAGTTCAGGAATTCTGGCCAAATGGGCAGAAACTGGGTGGCCTGGTGATGAGACTCAGGGTTCTTGGCTCTGTTGATATCCCAACTGCCTCTCTTCACTTCCTCCAGGTCAAGCACAAGATTGCAGAGGAGGTCCTCATACAGACTGACACAAGATCCTGAAAATACAGCCCTTACAAGAAACCACTGGGTGTGGTCATCTTCCTCTTCATCATCATTGTATATTATCTAGTCTGAGTTGTTAACTCCTGAATGAGTTGGAGGTCTGTTTTGGGCTGGGAAGCCAATGTTTAACTGATACTAATCCACCCAAAGACCAATTGCTGTGTAGTTTCCTACTCAGGATTCCTGATTCTCTTCTTAATAAATAGTGACATAGCATGTTATGTTGAATCCCTGCAAAATCCATTTGAAGCAGCTATTTTCATCACTGGCATACAGAGAAGTAAAGGGAGAGTCAGGGAAGGTCAGTGACTCCTGGAGAACAGTGGGGTAGAGACTTCAAATCT